AAATAACAGTTTTATAAAAACAATGTTGATTTTATAATTTTAATTGAAAACACTGAATTAAAGATATATGTAGAGCGAACTAAATATAATTTCACCATTCAAGATTTTCTAAACAATGTCCGAAGATTACAAATGTCAAATATGTCGGAAGGTATTATACTATGGGTCAGTTAACTCAATATACTCATTTGAGACTTTAATTAGTCATCTATACATCTAACATATTTTATTGTGTTTATGTAATTTCTTTTTTTTTCTCTCTCCTCTCTCATTTTCCGAGTTTTCACTCTTCTCTTCCTTTGATTTTTCTTCGCCAAGATCCGACGAAATCCATAATTTTGACGAAATCCAAGAAAGTCATGGTTTTGACGATGACGGTGTTGGCTAATATTATGATATGGCTATTTCATTGAAAAAAGTATTGGTGAATACAATAAATTAGTTATACGGCTAATACATTAGACAACAAAAAGTTAGAATGTAACGTAAAATGATAGACGGCTAATTTTTTATTTGGCAGAAAGTGGTTTAATTAGATTGATAATATACTTATTTCCTACGTTTTGTACAATATTTTATATACATGTTAGTTGGTTAAAATCATGTTTGGCGATTAATATATATATATTATTTATCTGAATACATTGCCAATTAGCTAGATATTTATAATAAACACAATATAAGCTACTATAGTTATATGGATAACAAAATACATTAACAGCTAAATTAAGGCATTGCCGTTATTTTATTAGTTGTCGTCTAACAATAGAAATAGAAGATTATTTCGAACATTTCTACCCCTAAATGCGTCTYTCGGCTCTCTATATCTCGAAAGCACCGACAGGTCTGGTAAAAGCAGCGACATATCCGGATAATAGAGTCAGTATCCGGATAGTATAACATATTTAAAGAGTAATCTTAATTGTTAGYCGGATACAAATTTTAAATAACCGCATAATCTATCGTAAACTTGGCCGGATAAAATATAAGTACAACAAATAAACTTTGTGAAACATCTAAGGATACGTGTTATCGTTAACTCAAATATTATCCGATATTATATATGTAAACATTCAACAATTAATTCAGAAGACTAATTTGAAATGCGAAGATATAATTTTCTAGTGGATTTTCTCGGATAATATGATGACCCACCGCTAAACACCACGAATCTCACCGAGAAAGCCAAACATTGTGAACTCCGCGTCCCATATATGTCCTTATGAATGGAATCATATAATTAGTTATCGGCTATAACATTAGATGTTTAACATTGTTACAACTTATGTTGAATGTATACAATCATTAACATCTAACAAACATTGTTATAGCTAAATAATATGTTATCCGATATTTTATAAGTTGTCAGTCTAACAATAAAAAATATAAGATTATTTTGAACATTTCTACCCTTAAATACGTCTCTCGGCTCTCTATATCTTGGAAGCACCGACAGGTCTGGTGAAAGCAGCGATGGATCCAGATAATTAAGTCAGTATCCGGATAATATAACATATTTAAAGAGTAATCTTAATTGTTAGCCATATATTAGTTATAAATACGGACAACCTACTAGATTTCAAGTCGATTCTCAATAACATTACACATACGAATTCTGAAGGGTTAACTTGTAATAAACCTCAATCCATGCTACTTTCTCATTGTTAGTTTGTTAATCATACTTAATTTACTCTTAAAACATATTTAATCACTAAACATCTCAAAATATATATTACCGCTAACTAATTTGTCATCCGCTATTATCTATGTTAGCACTATAAACAAAATTCAAAATATCAAACATATAAGAAAATAGTTAGCGGCTAAGAAATTCACTAACTCAGTCCACTCAAACTCAATTTACTGAGTCAACTCACTAAATCAAAACAAACTCAATTAGCGATAAACCCAAATCTCCCAAATGAAAGAACAGAAACGGTTGGAAAAAGATGGAATTAGTAGTTGTTGTTAAGAAAGATGGTGGAAGCAGAGGCAGAGGAAGAGGTTACAGTTTTGAAGGAGGTGGATGCGGAGTCGGCGGAGGACAACACACGATCTCACCATTTTCTCTTTCATTCTCTATAATTTCATAAGGGTAAAATTGGTATAAATTTATGAATTGTCCATATACATTTCATGATGACACATTTCTAATATCAATTTTTACGGGGTATACGGGGTATATGGACTGCAAATTCTCTATAATCAAATTTGTATTTCTTTTTTGTGTGAGAAAATATTATAACAATTTTGTTACTTATAGATTCAAAGTATCTACATTGTGTCGCCTAGCTCTTGTAGCTCGACTGGTCAATGATGGCATTGTGGAAGTGCAACATGTGACTAGGTCGATGCTCGTTCAAGGCAT